AATTAATCTGAGCAGTACGCAGCTTGAATGCCATGCAACAGAGCATTTTCTGGTTTTCAATCATCAGTTAGTATTATAAGGATTTTGTGTGGAGGGATGGTGGAGGGAGGGGGAGGGGGGTATGATGATGGAAGGTAATGGTCCGGAGAGTTGGGGAAGTTGAGTTTTGGATGCGTTCGGGTGTGCTCACTAATGTCCTTAAACTTCAATTAATTCCAAAACTATCAGGTTATGCAAACTTTTACAAAATAATGTCTCTAGAAAATCCCTGTGCAGAATTTTATCTATTCTACCTATATAACTAATATAACTGTCCATATGTTTCAACTATCTTAAATCACAAATATGAACTTTTAAAATGACATCTATTGAAGCATTAATTATATTATTTATGCGGTGTATACAAGTTGATATACAGGGTGTCCCAGTATAAATGTAACCCAAACTATACATGTGTACAGTATACAACCTAAATATTTCTTAAAACTGCAGAAGTTAGCAAATCTACTACTATAAACAACATGTCACTAGCTCTGCTGGCAAAAATTTTATCAACATTTATAGACTATGCTCCAAATATCCTCCTTTCTGCTGAAGACATTTAAATTATATTATATTATATATGATATTGTCATGACATGTGTGTTTTCTTTTTAAGTAGGCCTATAGCTCTGTCCCCAGTTTCACAAAAATACATAAGTCGGTTCTTTGGTTTAGTTGACTGGGATTTCCATGAGAGTGCTGTTACACTGCTCTTGATAGGGTAAGTTGTGCCCATGTGACTATGTAACCTTGCTAATTAAGTTCTTAACTAGAGAGCCTAATTTTGTGAAACCGGGCCCTGATTTCGTGAGTGCATGCTGCTCTGGGATGGTGTAGAGGTTGTTTCTGTAGACTACATCCTTCAGATATCCCCACACACCAAGATCTGGGGAAATGCAGAGACCACTCAGGTTCGTGTTTATTCTGAACAAATTCAGGCATCGACTGGGTCTAATGAGCCGTGGAAGAGGTGTAAACACGGTTCGGGGGGAGTGGAGGAGTACCAGCAACATGGGGCTACCCCTCATACAGCAAATGGCTCTCTGGAGTGGCTGGACCAGAAGTTTCTACATGTAGAAACATAAACCTGAGTGGTCTCAGTATTCCTTGACCTCATCCCCCAGATTTTAAACATAAACAAGGTTGAAAATTGTTATTTTGACGTGCAAATATCATTAGGCACGCCTTTGCTAACTGATCGATCTCACGGACTTGTTGCTTATTGAGTGACGACAAAGCAATTCACCAACAAGTCAAAACATTTTAAAGAAGCACGAAAATATTAGTTATATAAAATACAATGTTGGAAGAAGTAAAGTTAAAACAGTAAAGATACTGCAGTATTTTATTTTAGAGTCTGTCTCAACATAATTCAGAGGCGGACCCAGAGATAGTTTGTGACAGTCTTCCAAATTATCTTTGTTGATCCATCCTCCATTTTTGACCGTCTTCCGATAGAAAAAAATTAGATACCCGTCAATGTAAATCTGAACATCTGACCGTCTTCCGAAAGACCCAGAAGACGGCCTCAATCCGCCCCTGCAATTGTGACGGTGACCATGAATTCCATCACACTGCGCTTGTGAAGACAGGGATTAATAACAGAGGACGTTAGTTCGCTCATTTTTCTTAATTTCGGGTTGTCATAATAAGCAACCTCAAATATAACTTGAGACTTTTTGTGCTGAATGCACCTATTTCCATCGAGTCCAATTGAAAGCATGACCAAAACAGAGAATAAGAAATAACACCCAAATCAATGTAAAGTATTTATTCAATAAAGAAGAAACTGACAAATGCACTCAAAACCTTGAATAAAAAGATAGGAATTCTTACTTTAAATATTTGCAAATAGTACCATGAAAAAAATTGCTGGAGGGTGGACTTAGACGCTCACGGTCAGAAGTCTAGTTTGGTCAAAACGTGGACTCTTCGGCAAGCAGCTACCTTTAAGGAGTTAGTGCACATAAATTAAAATCGGTGATTTAATGTAGAAAAGTATTTACAGAAGCAAGAGAAAAGAAACAGCGAAAAAGCTCGAGGGGTAGAATTTATTGAATAAAACAGTTAACGTTGTGAACGCTAAAATCCCGCATAAAAATGGAGTACACAAAGCCGACAGAATTCATATCAAGTGCCGACTTGCTCGACTTATTGCATTGCTAATTTACGTTCCCGTTTATAAATGCGCTAAAACCTATTTGTGCGACTACTTAGTATATATATATATAAGAAAACAGGAGTGCTTATGAATTATAGTATTTTTTGATAATTGTGCTAATAAGCTGAATCCCCGATGAAAGCCACATAAAATCAGTCAGACGGCGTGGAGAGAACAGTTTTCATCATCCTTTGTCAGTATAAACATGACTTTATTGGCCATAGTTGGTTTTATGCATGAACAAGCGGTTTTCTGTGTGTTTCTGCATGCAGAACTCGTGCACTTACTACTTGCCCGGGCTTTCAGTTGCCCACACACCCTTTGTGTGATATGTTGGTATACAGGTCAGCAGGTTTTGTTTCCAGGTTGTAGTTTTGACCCGCCAATGCATGTCACTAGGGAGGTATGCTCACTCATTGATGTGTGTGTGTGTGTGTGTGTGTGTGTGTGTGTCATGCTGTTTATTATCAAATTTACTAAGTGTTAAGTGTACTAAGTGTTAGTTATTGCCATTTTACTACCACGTGCGTCCCGATGACCTCGTGGTTAGAGTATCAGCCTCCGGAGCGGGAGGACGTAGGTTCAAACCTACGTAGGTTCAAACCTTGACATGCCGGTCTTTAAAAAATTGTACCTGCTGTCTCCCCGCTTGGCACTGTAGTTGCTTTTCTTCCATAATGAGCCAAAGGGTCAAAAATTATGTCATGTCATGGTGACTCTTTTGTAGAGATAAATCAAGGGATGAAGGGATGTATGAATGGAGTCAATTGTGACCCTTCTGAGGGGTCTGAAATGGCGTTACTCCATCGGAGTCAGCTTGATTCCAATTGGGAATTATTTTAGGCACCACTGCTGGACTCCAAGTTTGGAGTCACTTGGACTCCGATTTTATTCTCAGTGTAGATATAAGTGTAGTGTATTAGTCTATGTATTGTTTGTGCGTCACGCCAGGTGTCGCATGACACCTGGTACCATGTGACTTGACGCGGGAATCTTGAATGTAATAAAGCAGTACTCACAACAATGGCGACAAGGATGGTCACATTTTATTACGTTGAATGATAATTTTACGATTTTAAACAACATGGAACCTCTATGCTCAAATGAAATTGACAATAGTTGTGAAGAAACAAGGATTACACGAATGGAAAACGAAATTAGACACTTAAACTCAAAATTTGAAGGACTATGTGAAAATGTCTATAAAATGACAGAAGGATTGCAGAAATTTCAAACAGAATTTATTTCATATATGAGACGTGACAATCCATCCTTATTGGAAAATTCAGCTTCACCCTTGACTCATGCTCAGCAAGGACACATTGAGATAAATGATCCTCATGATGCCGATGCTCCTCCCGTCTCTGATACTTCAACGGAGTCTTCAACTCATGGTTTAGCTGAGCGAATAAGTTCAAATGCTGATTTTGTACCAGACCCGGAGCAGCCAGTTGTCAGTGACCCAACCGTGCCAGCGTACCGTTATGGACGTCAGAATTCTGATCCGAGAGGGCCACATCGACAATTCCGTGAGGATGTACCCACATTCACTCCCACGCAAAGATCGCAGCCAGTGGACACTCCCCTGTATACTGACGAAAACCGACAACCACCTCCAACAGGTAGGTCATTTCCCATATACAATGAGTCACACATTACCTGCCCCCAGCCGCCCACCCGTTTTCAATCATATGATGGAAGTACTAACTTCTATTCATATTACGTAAAATTATGTTGCGTTGCTGAGAGCAAGGGATGGGGAGTCAAAGAAATCTACGAAATTATGATCAATTCACTAGAAGGTAAAGCCCTTGACGAGTTTGTAAAACTACCACCTAACGAAAGGATGCACCTGTACAGTGTTGTAGATACCCTTATGAAATGTTTCGGAAAAACTGAAAATTCATCATTGGCGCGAACAGAACTGGCCGCTATAAAACAAAAAGAAAACGAAAGCTACGAAGAATTTGGCTCACGTGTGAGAATATTAGCGTTGTCTGCCTACCGTGGTACTGGCCTATTCAATCTAAGATCTAATAAACAGATATTATTAGATCTTAGATTCAATCAAATGGCCACTGAATCGTTTTTACGTGGGTGTTCAGATAAAGATTTAGTGGGAAAAGTGATGTGCATGAGACCTAGAACATTAGAAGAGGCAGTCGAAAATGCCCGTACGTGTGGAGCAAATATGCAAATTTTGGGGTTACGCAATGAAAATTGTAATAAGCAAGTGCGCAAAGTTACTTTTAAAGAACCCCAGTCTCCATGTACAGGTCATAATGAGCATCAAAATCCACCAAATGTGAGTCGCGTTCAGTTTTCACCTCGTAGCTTGAGTCCTAATCGGACAGAATCATTTCAGTCCATTGATACAGAACAGAGGTTGCAAAACATTGAATCATCGTTGTTAGAATTGATTCAGTTATTCCGTCAGTCCGTGAACCAAACACAAAAGGGCAATGACGCTCAGTTTGGTACACCCCCTAGGGGCATCCCCCGGTGCTATAATTGCCATGAAATGGGTCACATAAGCACCAATTGTCCCCAGAAAAACAGTGATTCGTTAAACCGCAACAGGTCGCCTGTGCGGTCCAACAATCGACCTCAACTGCAGAAGGACCAAATCTGATCCCACACACTGTTTATTGTAATGGCATGGCCAAAGGCGAAAGTTTAGTGGTCCCCATACATGTCAATGGAATCAAAACTAACGCTGTTATCGACACGGCAGCGCAAGTGACCATAGTTAGTAACAAGCTGTTATCACAAATTACTGGAGAAATTACTTACGGCGGGTACCATGACATAAAAGGTATACCGCAGATTAACTTACGAGCAAGAGAAATAAAAGGCCTAAAATTAGCAATTGGTTCAGAAGTGTATGAATGGACAGTACTTGCTTCCCCTATCCCAGACAATGTTTTATTGGGTTTAGATTTCTTAAAAATGTTTCAGTGTAACATCTGTCTGGAAAACAATTTCATATCGTTGGCCAGACCAGATCCTTCAAATAAAAGACGAAACAAAGTTCATGCCTCTATAAGAAAAGGTAGTGACAATTATTTAGTGGCGAATCGTGTCATTTTATCAAAGAAAGTTGCCGTTCCACCGCATTCTGAGAAGTTTGTTCAAGTTCCCTTTGTTGCGGAAAGGAACAAAACATTTTTACTCAACGCCCCTAAATATGATCAGAAGGGTCTTTCGGTGCCTTATGGGTTGATAAGCACCGATTATACGGATGATTGCCTCAGTTGTTCACTCACTCTAAGGAATGAGACTGATGAGTCAATTACCTTAAAAGCAGGTCATGTGATGGGTGATTTGGAAGAGATTGAGCGTGTACTGGGATATCCTGAGAGTTTTGATAGTTCAAACGTGCACCAGTCTTTCTCGGTGTTGAAAGTTGATGTGAACTCTAACGATGTGAAGAATAATATTCCTGAACACGTGATTGATTTGTGGAAACGATCTAGTGAGGATTTGTCTGATGAGCAGTCTCTCAAATTAGGCAATCTTTTGACAAAATACGCCGATGTTTTTTCCAAATCTGAATTTGATATCGGCCATTTTACCAAAATTAAACATAGAATTGATACAAACGACTATTAAACAAAGACTGAGACGCACACCTCTGGGTTTTGAACAAGAGGAAAAAGCTACATTAGATAAATTGTTAGCCGCTGATATTGTGCAACCCTCTTGTTCTGAATGGTCTTCCCCTCCTGTTTTAGTGAGAAAGAAAGACGGCACTTTGAGATATTGCATAGATTTTCGTGCTTTAAATAAAGTGACCGTCAAGGATGTGTATCCACTACCACAGATAGTGGTAGAATGCTTAGATGTTTTAGCGGGCACTCGATATTTCAGCACTCTTGATATGAATTGTGCTTATTATCAGGTTGAAGTTGAGGAAAGCTCCCGGCCTAAAACCGCTTTTATGACCAAGTACGGTTTGTTTGAGTTTAAACGACTACCGTTTGGTTTGACTAACAGCCCTGCTACTTTCATGCGAGCAGTCAATTCCGTTCTGCATGGTTTGACGTGGAGACAAGTACTCGCTTACTTGGATGATGTTGTTGTGCTTGGGAACAATTTTGATGATTCTATAGCCAATATTGCACTGGTGTTGGATAGATTCAAAGAAAATGGATTGAAATTAAAACCATCCAAGTGTTCATTACTCAAAAGGAGTGTTCTCTATTTGGGTAAATTGGTAGATGAGAATGGCATTGCTCCAAACCCTGACAGTATAAAAGCAGTTCAACGTTGGCCACGTCCAAAATGTAAGAAAGACGTGGAAAGATTTCTTGGTCTAGTTAATTACCATAGAAGTCGCATAAAATNTTTTAAAACATGAAATCCTGAATACCTTAAAATCGTGCGCCCTTCTTTCATATTTTTCCAGCAGTTTCATCTGCGCATGTGTAACAAGACGGAACGAGGTAGTTAGTTCAAAGGTCAGGTCAAACATGCCGGTGAGTGGGACGGTGTAAAGTGACAGAGAGTTCGCTTCCCATTCATTTGTACAGGTGAGCCTCGCCCTAGATTTGACCCACTTCGGTGAGACTAAACCTAACCATTATAACTATATGGAGGACGTCACTTCAGGACATTGATTTTATGGGAATTAAGGAGAAGTAGAATCTTTATTGAACTCGGAGAGCGCAGACCTCCGCCAAGGCAGCAAAGTCTCAATCCAATGCCGTTTCACCCCTAAATTTTTGACATTTTTGATTATTGATCCGGATCACCACAAAAAACTAATCATCTGTTCCTTGGCCAACTTCTGACAGTTACTGAAAAATGCATCAAAATTGGTCCATAACTTAGTTTTTTTATTATTGATTATTGATTGATTATTTATCCGGATCACCACCAAAAACTAATCATCTGTTCCTTGGCCCACCTCTGACAGTTCCTGAAAATTTCATCAGAATCAGTCCGTAACTTTTTGAGTTATGTTGATAACAGACGGACAAACAAATATAGACAAACAGGGGTGAAAAAATAACCTCCTTGGCAGAGGTAAAAAAAACCTTCACACATAATTATAGGTACAGTACAATCATATTTAATAGGGTGCCCAGATCTGTAGATGGAATAGGAAGTATCAGAGACTTAAACAGTTATGGCGATTTGTGCAGGGCCATTGAGAAGGTGGTTTCTAATTTTGAAAAAAAAAAGCTTTTTGCACCTTTACCTTAAGGGCTTCTATCCCTTTACAGTACGTTACTTCCAGAGGAAGTGAAGACAAACTTAATAGCACTACGGTAGCACGAAAATTCATGTGTTAACACCCATATTGATTATTGTGATATGTACTGGCTGTGCTAACAGCTAACAGCCAGAACATATCAGAATCGTCAATAGAAATGCTAACGCATGGATTTTTGTGCTAGCACTATGGGTGCACTGAACACTGAATTCAACTGTAAGATATGGCCAACCAGAGACTCTTAATGGTAAAGGTTATGCTCTTTCTTTTTTTAATGATATTATAGTTATTCTGCAGTTTTAAAGCCCCTTTCCAGAAACTGTCCAATCGGTCATGACTGGCAAAATTTGTGTGGACCAGTAAAAACCTGGACTTAGTCGGTCTAAATGACCGACACGAGTTTTAAGAGCCACCATTTTGATTTTACAGTCATTATTTGACATACTTCACTAAAAAAAAAAAATTGTATGAAGCCCAAAGCGTTTTTTCCCTTCCATTTCAAACCGATCACATTCACAAACAAAGTAAGCTACTTAATCGTAGTATCCGTCTCAAAAAAGCAGGGCGATTTTCGGTCTGGAAAAAATCCATTTGGTCCGGCAAATTTTTCATTACATTTCATTACATGTCCGACCATTCTGAAAAGTTTTCAGCATGTCTGCCTTTCCTAATATAACTCAACTCCTTTTTTTATAATTTCTTTTTTTAATTGACCAAAGCAGATTCCAGCAAAGTAAGATGGCCAAGAGGAAGCTCATCATTGATGTGGACACTGGTGTGGATGATGCTCAGGCCATTATGATGGCATTGGCTTGCCCTGACGTTGATGTGCTGGCCATCACTTGTGTGAATGGAAATACGATGTTGGACCAAGTATACATTAATACACTGAGGGTACTCAAGACATGTGATAGGATGGATGTAGGTACCACTTTGTAAATTGTGCCAATGTATGGTATCAAGAATGTATCACCATCTTTGTAATACATTAATTCCTGATAGTATCTATATCAGTTGTCTAAATAGAAAGGCTATTTCCTTGGTTAAGAGGTGAAATCATCTAGCCTATGTCCGACATTAATTGCTATTTGCATGGCTTGTTCTCGGTGAGGGGAATAAATTAATACATTACTCACTGTGGAGCAGATGTAAACATATAGACTGGGATAAGGTGTGTGTGTGTGTGTTTAATATATAGGAAGAAATAGTTTGAATGTATCAATTAATGTTTATTAATTTTTTCATTGTGCTGAATATATTCCAGATCCCAGTTTACAAAGGGACATACAAGTCCTTGATTGGGCATGACTTGTCGAGTGAAGGTCAGCGTTACCATGGTAGTGATGGGTTGGGGGATTGTCCAGAAGCAGAACCCCCTTATCCTAACCTGATTCAAACAGAACATGCTTCCATAGCCCTTTTAAAACTTGTCAATAAGTACCCAGGTAAAATTTTTACAAGGTTTCATTTCATGTCTTTAAATGAATTTCTCCACCATTCTCATATTTTTAATCATTTTAATTGACCAGCACAAGGATTGTTCCTAGGGAAAATTAAGTGTATGTTACATTTTGTATTGATTCTTGAACCCACATTCCACCTGCATGTGGCAGTCTTTGGGGGAGAGGAGGGGGTTGGATGTGGATGGGGGTTTGGGGATCCTCCCCCAAGGAAATTTTGAATAATTATTGAGCAAAATATATTGTAATTTAGTGTCATTTAAGCTAAAAGTTAATCCTTCAAAAATGGAAGATACAGTACTTGTAAACCAGCAAGTCTTCTTTGTGTCCAAAATGGTGACAAAGTTATCTGTCTTATCTCAAAAAAAATTTTTTTAAATCAAGATGACATGTTACTTACGGCCAATCTTAGTAACATTTAAACCAAACACTCATAATCCAAAAAAAAAAAGGTTGGGCAAACATCTTTTTTTAAACAAGCAGCACCTCAGCTTCCATTTTGTTGTTCTTGTGACCATGTAGAGTGCAAGGTTGATAAACTTGTTTTTAGAATTTACACAAAACAAATCCTCATTGTTTGATTTAACCAAGAATTCAAAGTAAGATCAGATGGTTAATCAGCTAGAATTTAAGTTATATGTGTGCATAATTCCATTTTTTATCAATACTTTATGCAGTAGTGGTCATTGCTGTTTTTTTATTATTTTTTTTTTTTTTTGGAATTAGTGACACATTACTTTTTGAATAATGGAAAAATGTTAAGAATAGAAATATGAATCTTCTTGCATCTCTGAACTATTGATATTTGTCAAAGTAATTCTTGTTATTAGTACCACCAGCATGTACGCTGGCGGTACTCATGGTTTTAGTCCCGACCCGTCTCGTACGGCTCCTGAGGCTCCGCCGGCTCCTGCGGCTCCGCCGGCTCCGCGTACTGGCGCCGGATACAAGTCACCGTTACCGCTTCTCTTCCTAGACTGCAAGGACTCATGTCCCCATCTCTTGGATTTAGGTCACATATAATCTCAACTTGAACCCCCTGTTCTTTTTGTCTCAGTCAGTGCATTGGCATGGGCATGACGCTCGTTGAAACACACCCTTGTCAAAATTTTTGAAAATTCAATGCCAAATATCTCCCAAATCAAAGGAATTATGGGAAAAATTACTACCGAAAGTCATATATGAAGATTCCAGATATGCCCTTGGATTTGACTTTTGACCTTTATTTCAAGGTCAAATGGGCCAAAATTTTCTAATAATCTTAATTTTTTGCAAAATTTTTTTTTATTTCTGCTGATTTTCAGAAACTACACAGATCTAACCTATAATATTATGGGTAGTTGTTACCCTTTGGGTCATCTTTCATCTTTTTGAGATTGGGGTCAATCGGTGCATTTTCATGAGAGTAGCAGCCATTAGATGCCGAAACTGAAAACTTTCTCTAATTCTGGAACCGTTAATGCTAGAGACCTCTTGTTTTTTGCATTTTGTAGAGCTTATCAAGAGCAACACAGAAGCTGGTGTCCATTTTTCCTTTTTTGATTCGGCTTAGCCGTTGCATTATATCAAAAAGTTCAGTATCCGATATTCAGTGGTGAAAATAAAATGTGAAATACTCCAAAATTAGCTGAGATACGCCCATAGTTACTATTGAACTTGAATAGGAAGTCGTATACTGGTAATCTGACTGTGACCTTGAAATTGACCTTTGACCTACTTTTAACCATGAACTGCACTTTGCAAGTTTTCTGATCTTTATATCTCCAAAACTGGCAAAGATTCGGCCTTAGGTACTATTGAACTTGAATAGGAAGTCATATACTGGCAATTTACTGTGATCCTGAAATTGACCTTTGACCTAATTTTCACCATGAACTAAACTTTGCGAATTTTCCAGGCCCCCGTTTCACAAAAAAACTTAAGACGGTTTCCCTGGCTTGGTTACCAACGTAATTAAGTCGTTACGTCACTAAGTCCCGTTTCACAAAGAATCTAAAAGGTCGCTTACGTCGTTTTTTTCTTAGCCCTAAGTCGACGATGTCAAGCCTCCTCGGGAGGAGACTTAGTCGGCAAGCTCAACTAAAACTCGGTAAATGAGAGCATAAACAAAAATTTGGAAAGAACATACCTCCTTCAAGATATTGTGTTATAATATCCTTGAATAGCACTGACATTTATGGAATATTAAAATAAAAAATAAAATTCCACTTTACCCAGCCGATCGCGTGTTTGTTTATGTTTTTGACCGCTAGACGTCCCTCAGTAGTGTTCCACGACAAGCTAATGTTTAACTGTTACTTTGAAGTTGTATTGAAGTTAAACTTATCAATAAAGTTCAAAAACAAACTTTGTTTGTGTTTTGGCTGACTTTNCTGGTTCCCAACTTATACCCCAAAATGCCCCTTGCCTCTTATGCAGAGCCTTTTTTCAAAAATCTCACTAGACTATATTTAATCTTAGATAAAATGGTAACTTAAATGTTGTGTGAATGTTTGCTGAAGATATCAGATGGGTATGTATTATAGAGCAGACATTCATGAATTCCTGATTCACTTTATTGATAATTAGTACCACCAGCGTGTACGCTGGCGGTACTCATGGTTTTAGTCCCGACCCCCCTCGTCCGGCTCCGTTGGCTCCGCCGGCTCCGCGTACTGGCGCCGGATACAAGTCACCGTTACCGCTTCTCCTCCTAGACCACAAGGACCCCAGTCTCCATCTCTTGGATTTAGGTCACATATAACCTCAACTTGAACACCCAGGTTTTTTTGTCTCAGTCGGTGCATTGACCTGGGCGTGACGCTCGTTGAAATGCACCCTTGTCTAAATTTTTGAAAATTCAATACCAATTATCTACCCTACGGAAGGAATTATGGGAAAAATTTCTACAGACGGCTTTCCAAAAGTCATATGTGTAGATTACAAATATGCCCTTGGATTTGACCTTTGACCTTTATTCCAAGGCCAAAGGGGCCAAAATTTAAAAAAAAAAAAAAACAAATTTTTTACGAAAAAAAAATTATTTGCACTGTAATTCAGACACTACACAGACTTAACCAATAATATTATGGGAAAGTGTTACCCTTTGGGTCATCTTTCAACTCCGTAAATTTGGGGTCAATCAGTGCATTTTCACGGGAGTAGCGGCCATAAGATACCGAAACTGAAAACTGTCTCTAATTCGGAAACCGTTAATGCTAGAGACCCATTCTTTTTTGCATTTTGTAGAGCATGTAAAGCCCAACATTGAATGTGGTCTCCGTTTTTTTGTATTTCATACGGTTTTCGTGCTATGCTGTATTAAAAAGTACATTGTGGTGGCACATTATTGTAACTCAGAATTGTAACATATAGTCCCTTATATCTCCAAAACTGGCAGAGATAGGTCAATAGTTATAGTTCAAGTTGAATAGGAAGTCATTTACTGGTAATCTAAATGTGACCTTGAAATTGACCTTTGACCTACTTTTCACCATGAACTGAACTTTGCAAATTTTTGTTCCCTTTTATCTCCAAAACTGGCAGAGATAGGTCCATAGTTACTATTGAACTTGAATAGGAAGTCATATACTGGCAATCTAAGTGTGTCTTTGAAATTGACCTTTTACCTACTTTTCATCCTGATTTGACTTGAATAGGAAGTCATATACTGGCAATAAACTGTGACTTTAAAATTGACCTTTGACCTACTTTTTATGATGAACTGAATTTTGATTGTACCATTTTTGGTTATATATTTTTTGCATATTTTGAGAATTCTTGTTGATTGCATTTTTTAGAGCTTGTCAAGCATAAGACTGGTGGTGGTGTCTCTTTTTTTTTGGGGGGGGCGGGGTCCATATGAATGCGCTTGCTCCAGCTGGTGGTACTATATCAGGAGGCGGTATCGCCTCTCTGATCCTCTAGTTTGGTATGGAAGCAAGTAGTTTCTAAAATCTATTGACTAAATTAATTTTTAAACATTTGACACATTTGTTTTTTAGGTGAAATCACACTAGTCACACTAGCTCCTTTGACCAATATTGCAGTTGCTTTGAGATTAGAACACAACTTCACAAAAAAGCTGAAAGAACTCTTCATAATGGGTGGAAACATTGAAGGTAAATGCCACTAAATTTCATTGATTAGCAGACTTATACTTCACCATATATTAAAAGGCCAGTCCATGGGATTTTCTTACCAAAATGAATTGTTAGAGGTTTTTCCCAGGCATTTGAAAGTCCCTGGCAGCCATATGCACATCCTGTAAAGCTTCTTGTATTTCCCAAAGAGAATAAAAATGGAATAAAGCATTGAACCCAAGTGCAAGGAGGGGGCAGGCAATTATTCCTGAGTATGAGAAAATTTCTCTATAAACCAGGAAAATTTATTTTGCTTAAAAAATCCATTGTTTGGTGAATATGAGTTTACATAGACATACTAAGTCAGAAACATCACAAATTCAAAACCGTTGGAAAAAATGTTTATGGTTCCCATTGTAATTTTGAAGGTCCTGAAGAACAATAATCACACCTTCATGTTTTATACCTCACTGGGGTACAGTAAAAAAGGGTTTTCTTTATTATCGCAGCCAAGGAACAGGCTACAGAAGGTTATGTTTTTGGTTCTGTTTGTCTGTAATCAAAATAATTGAAAAGTTAAGGACAGATTTTGATGAAATTTTCAGGACGGATCAAAAGTGGGCTAGATTTTTGTTGATAATTAATTAATTAATTAGTTCATTGATTAAGAATGAGAATTGAACTAATTAGTTAATTTATTAATAATTAAAGATAATTGAAAATAGCTAATTAATTTGTTGATTAATAAATAATTATTAATTCTTTAATTAGTCAATCAGAATTGAGCTTTCTTGGCTGAGTTCTCTCAATCTTGGCTTTTTTAGTGTTTATAAAATTTTTTTTTTTTATCTACTTTTAAAGAAATGTAGCTATTTGTTTCAGGTGTGGGGAATGTGACTACTAGTGCGGAGTTCAACTTCTGTACTGATCCAGAGGCAGCCAACGTGGTGCTGAATGAAGTTAGCTGTCCAACCTACTTGGTGGGTTGGGAAGTCTGCTTGAGACATGCTCAAAACTGGGTGAGGATTATTAAGTTTAAATCAATTGTGCAAAAATGTGGATGTATAGAGCTGTTTAGAAAGTATATACTGCACTATATGAATATAGTTTCTACTGCAATGATTTTGGATTTTATGCTTTTCAAGCTTTGTTTGGCCTCTTTAATTTGCATGCCAAATTTATTTGGTCTTGAAATCTTCGGGCAGTAAGTCTCAAAAAGTTGTTAATATTGAGTGTTTATCTTTAAGAAAAAAAAGGGAGTGATGCACTAGGAGTTTTCATTTAAAGGCTAATTCATCATCATTGAAATGAGAATGAAATATGTTTTGCTTCAAGGACTGGTATGAAAAGGTCATAGAACGAGAGACAAAGAAGGCCAAATTTGTGGAATCCATCATGAGAAGTACCAGGGAGCGTAATAAGAATGTGATAAAAAGACCATTCCACTCCTGTGACAGTCTTGCCATGGCAGTGGCCTTAAGACCAGACAAAATCGAAGAGTCAGCTCTCCACTACTGTACTGTTGAATGCCGTGGAGAACTGACCAGGGGGCAGATGGTCATTGATCACAGAGGATTATTAAAAAAAGATAAAAAGATAAAAGTTGTGACAAAATTTGATGTCAGAATTTTCCGCGAGCTATATGAAGCTCTTTTCAATTGACTACTGTAGTTAGGTACATTTTGCTTCTACGTAAGAACGTTTTTGAAGTCTGCCCATCTCCTTTAGTCTATTGAGATTTCACTAGGTATGAAATGTGTATGACCATTTTCATTAATCATTTCGAAATTCCACCAGTTTACTTAACTGTAGATAAATACTCAACCACAATTATGTTAAACTGATTTTTCAAGGATGATTAACTAACAGGGCAATTCTAAAAATTCTGCCAGTGATTGAATTATTTCTACATCTGAAAACCATTTCATTTTAAAATTCACCAAATGCTTGATTACAAAATAAACTCAAATACATGAGGGTTATGGATGTAAAAATTAATATGTATTTTAAGAAAGCATGTTGAACCAAGTGATTCAGGTTCACAAATCTTTGATTCTGTACTGCCATATTCCATAGCAGTTTGGTTTGTTTGTGCTAAGTATAGCAAAAAAAGAACCAAATTTGCCCTATGATTGTTACAAGGGCACCTGATTGTACTGACAGACCGCAATTATGTCTTTTCATCTGGTTTAAGTATACCCTGTAAAGTCACTTGGGAATTAAGACATTTCCATTTAATACATCTAGTTACAACAAAATTTTAATTACAAGTTTGATCAGTGATCCTCATAATGTTAAGCCTACCTATCTCGCTATATCTTATCATTGGCACTGAAATATAAACCAGTCACCAATGCATTTCAAATAGTATTTCAAAGTATGACAAGACAGTGTGGTTATAAACTGTGTACTCCTAGTATTTGAGTTTTCTATTCTGTTGGACTTGAGATGGGAGTAATTGAATTTTTTTTCGAATATGACACAGTGCAGTATTTCTGCATTAGGGGTTACAAAATTGGAGTCCTCAGACGTGTGTTCCAGTTTGCAGCTCTTCTATTTATACTTATGTAAGTTAATTGTGTAGCATGATGTCTAAAAGCATATTAACATACCAAAAAATTAATGATAATTATCTACTGTGGTTAGTATGTCAGCGATTATTCTATTCACATAATTTTGAGTAAATCCCATTGTTAAGCCTTTGATAATAGATACATGTCTATCAATGAAAACTGGGGTAGATTACTGCTACAGAGAAATTAATGTTATTTCAGTTGAAACTTGGATACAACACCAAGGATATACATTATATCAAAAGCTTATTTATATCACAAACTTATTGTCTCAAAAACTTTATGAATATATTTTAGTCACGTTTCATGCCTTTTAATTCATTGAAAATACGGTATATTCAAACTTATTTTTTCAGAATTTGTAAAGTCGTCTTCCTCCCAATCGTAATATATATATATATATATATATATATATATATATATATATATATATATATAGCTAGCTAGCTAGCTAGCTGTTGTAAGCCTGTGTGCAGTATTTGAATGTTGAAAAGTTGTACATTATAATTTAAGTAATATATAATAAATGCATTGATCACAAAACTGTCTTTAATTTAGATACTGAGTACTTGTAATTTTGGGACAAGCCTGACAAAATCAGTCTTCATCATTTGGAAACCTATATACATGTGAAATTTATGTAAAGCAGAGACTGAAAACCAATGCTGTGGTGAGGGAAAGAGCATTAGGTGGTAGTTTTCTGTGGCAGGCAGTCTTGGAACATCATAAATTACTTTCAGAGGTCACTGAAAACGCTCTCTACTGTCAGCATGCCTCTGCCTCCAGTATCGACAAAGCATGTTGATAGCTGAGAGGTGAGCATCAAATCTTCTATGCAACTTGGGGTATTTTGCTGATTCTTTAAGTAAAAGGTCTGGTAGTAGACTGGTACACAACCTCAGAATTATGGTCATAAAAATTGACCTGAAATGTATGTTAAAATCCATTTTCTGACATATGACACAAATCATTTGTTTCACACAAACCATATAAGATTCAAGCTTCTTTGAAATAATACAAATTAATTATGTAATTACACATATTTTATAACTGTTCCATACTGTATAATATATGACATTATTTTTGTATTACTATTGATTTTTTAAAGCTATGAAACGGTAAAGTGCGCGAACTACTGGGGCAAGTCAAAATTATGAAAATATAACACAAAATTAGAGTATCCCTGACGTGACTCAAATGTTCACTTTTTCTGGAATGACCTAACAACCCTATCAACGACGCGGTTGGGCCAAACAAGAAGTTACAACTTCTTGGGCCAAAGTGGGCTTTTTCTAAGCTAAAGGGGGAGGGGCGCATTACTGTAAGAATCACGTGAGTTGTTACTATTTTGAGACTACTGGTTACATTTGGAACTTTTGTTGGCATGGACTGTGCGTAGTAAAAATGATTTGGTTTTTAAAGCATCAACAAGATGAAAGGCCAAATTACTTTTGGTGTGTTATTATGTAAATTGTTTTAGTATCCTCAGTTAATGACAGAGAAAGCAAGACATGTCATTCCAGGCTGTCGGATATTAATCTCAATTATAGTTGTGATCGACATCAACAAGCAAGGAAGGATGTCATGTGCGACGTGTTGCGGGTATTTGAAAGGGGCGTTAGTCTCGTTCTTTGAATATGACACGCCCAAAATAGTCCACATAAAGAGCAAGAAAGTCGGGTTATTAAATCGAACCGTGCAATTAGCTGTTATTTTATATATTGTGATGTAAGTATTGGTGCCCGTGCACATAGTCTGACACACATGTACTGTACTGTACTTGTATGCGTCATACCGGGTACAGTACTTGGTAATATATACTCAGTGCATGTATGTACCGCTGCCGATGCTTTAGGTACTGTTACTCTGGTACATCAGTATATGGTGTTTATCAGAATAAAAGAAAGCGCTCATGCATGGTTAGAGTTGTATATGCTGTTTAAGTTGGGTTGCTTTAAATCATGACGCCATGGAACACTTGTTATTAAATCACTTTCACTTAATGTATTTTAGTAACTGATCAAAAGACGAAAATTTTGGGAAAATTTCAGAAATATTTTCTTATATATTGCCATTCACTCTTGCAAGTAAACCATGGTCCAATAAAAAAACGATGGGCAGTGGTTGAATAAACCCAGATAGCATGCATACGTTGGGCCAACGTTGGCCCAACGTTGCCTTGGTTGACCGTGCAACGTTGGCCCAACGTTGGGTTTCCATCTAAGTGCTCACTTTGGCCAACGGTTGGCTGAACGTCTTTTTAATGCCAACGCATTGCCAACGTATTCCCAACCAAACTGCGTTGGCCCTACATTGGGCCAACTAATAACCAACATTGGTCCAACAATTACCCAACCTGTAACCAACAGTGTATTTACGTTGGTTCTACTAATAACCAACATCAGTCCAACGTATTCCCAACCAAACTGCGTTGGCCCTACATTGGGCCAACTAATAACCAACATTGGTCCAACAATTACCCAACCTGTAACCAACAGTG